TAAATAAAATATTATAATAATATATGTAAAAATTGTTGCATGCGGGTTGGAACGCATTTCTACATGTGCGGTTCAGAAGTGTAAAACATCCATCTTAAAGATGGATGCAAGTAAGTGGTCCATCTTAAAACAAGGGAAACTAACAGTTCAAATGTTTCCTTAATAAATTTATTATTTTTAGTTTTAATTTTTTTTTTTTTTCATATTCATGATCTAGATTACATGCCCTTAAAAATTAAGTCCAAAAATCCATCTCAAAAATAGTTTTTTAGGAAGCACAACATTGCTACATGTGTGGGCTTAGCTTGTAAGCTAACTACGTTTATAATATATTATATTGTAAATAGGGAATAGTGAATAGTTGGTCCGCATGTGAAAACAAATACATGGGGAATGTTTCCCACCTCAATAGGTGTGGTTTTGTTTTACAATGAATTATACAATTTCTCATAGTAAAAGATTTTACCATAGTATTTTATTTGCATATGCATTTGTAACCAAACGTATGAAACACAATTTACGCATGTAAATATTTATCAGGGAATTACACATGAACCAAATGTACCCTAATGAAATTTTTAGCATATAAGATATCTATACAAAAGGATATAATGGAAAGGAATAAGAAAAAAAATAAGGATTTTATCTTAGTTAAGAAATAATATTGAAGTTTGGAATCAATGGGAGAAGTTAATCAGTATAAAATTAAATGTAGGGTAATAATATAAAAATGTACATGAATATTGATGGATGCACATCTTCCAGGCAATCCAAGCAGTGGATAGGCATAATCTATATTTCGTATCAGGTGTTATCTAAACAACAGACACCCCCATCACAGGGACAAACCAATTCTAGGATAACCCTATTCCAGAAGAAGCTTAGGATAGGTTTCTCCAGGTACCCAAATGGGAACTAGGCAATTCGATCTGCAGTTCTTCACCTACATTTCATCACTGTCCAAAGTTCATCATACGGTCACAGTTGTCAGATAGTATTTGAATTTTTATAATTATTCTACTTATCAAAATTATCTAAAATTTACAGCGTGTGTACATATGACCAAGTCGCACCAAAATAAAATATTAAAAAAATAATAGACATAAAATAAATTGTTGAAATTACCTTGAAAACTTTATATGGGTATTTTGTATACTTTTTATCATCGAAATTATTTGTTTTATATTTTATTCATGTGCATCTCACTAAGGCGCACACATTTACAAAATTTTAAATCAATATGACTTGTTCAAAAAATATTAAAATTCAAATACTATCAGATATTTATGATTGTGTAATAAACTTTCAACGGTGCTAAAGCTATAGGTGAAGTACTGTAGAACTTCACCTATAGACATT